ATTGTACAGCTTGGAACAATGATCCCTGGCCAGCTCCGGCTAGTATTAATTTCCCCGAAGAGGACAAGATTCAAAAAGATGCTGGATTTTGACAGCATCTTTTTATTTTAACCAACTTCTGCAATTTCCTTGTAACTCCACTCATTACCAAGTATTTCACAATGAACGAACTAATTAATCGATTAGCTCTGAAACATTCGATATAGCAGAAAATTGTATACCACCTTTTTTTGCAGGTAATATCAGTATCTGCAATTTTTCTTCAAAGCATTTTTCGAAATATCGAGAAAAAAAAATTTTTGAAGACTGTCAAGGGGTACCCTTTCAGATTTTGCGAAATATTCGTTAATAACTGGTTGTCACTAACAAAAAATGTGCGAAACGAAAGTTGTAGGTATCCTCAAAAGCTACAAGTTTTGTACGGAACATTTTTTTATGCCGTCAACAGTTAACGAGTTATTTTCAATAAACTGTTCTCTCGTTTTTTGTAAAATACTCGTTAACTATCGCCGCTAGCAAAGAAAAATTTTTTCAGACAAAAAATGTAGCTTTAGTTGTCAGCTACAAATAAGGTCGTATCCAATTTTCCCATAGGTTCAACGGTTTAGAAATATTTGAGGAAAAACGAAATTTTGGGCGAAAAATTTGCTGCTTTGACGAAGGAACGGCTGGATTTTAGCAGTACTAATGAAATGCCGATTAATCATACGTAGAGACGAGTTAGAAGAAAAATTCATACAATCTTTCTTGTAGAGGACGTCAATGTCTACAATTTCTGTATAAAATTTTTTTTCAAATTGTCTTGGTGGTGTTATTCTGGTGTTCCATTCGGAACCTTTGTGCCACATTTACTTAGTTGATGCATCGTTACCCCTTATACACGCTTCTTACCTGTTCCTTTCAATTCTTTAAATAGAAAAGGAAATTTTCACAATGAAATGCCAGCAAAAATATGGTAAATGAAGACTGGACGGTTTTCAATTCTAATTCATTATTTAATCCAACAGCAAATAAATTGCGTGAGGTAAATAGATATGATCGGATTCTACGAAGGGTAAAATGGAACAGGTTGAAGTCGCGTCGCTCGTCGGGAGATGGAATTAACGAGATTCCGAAACTCGGAGCGATAGCCCACGTGGCCGTACCTGAAATTATACAGCACCACTGGCGGCGAGTCCACTCTTTGTTTTACTTCATACATAAATTATGGATAATCTTCTTAGTTTCGTGGCTCCCGCGAAGAAGCGAACTTCCACTTCCGATGATCGCGGCGAAAGATTAAGTTTGAATTCGCAGCGGAACGCCGCCATCGTCTTCTTCTCCTCCTTTCCTCGTAACACCGGGATCTTTAACTTCTTTCGTTTTCTTCGGTGCCGCGCTCATTTTCATACTATTTTCGAAACGGATTTCCTCCTCTTCCGCCGATTTAATTCACCCGCTTCATATTCAACCGGTTCCCGGTTATCATATTCCTCAAGTTCCGTCGCCGAGCTGCTGTTCAGTTTCAATTCGACAAGAACAAATTGTCACCATATCCCACCAACAGATGAAATAAAATCATCGTAGACGAACTAAACGTATTCCATTCCGAAATCCTGTATGGATAGAATTTTTATCGATGCATCGATTTAAAGTTTTGTTTGCATCCCTGTGTCTCTTGATACGTCGATGGTTGTCCGCAGGTGTTCGAACCGGACAAATTCTATCAAAGTTTTCGAATCAGATTCTTGTCCCGTGCATGCGGACCCGACGACGGTGAACAGATTCCTAATTACACTTTTGTTTGTACGGTCCCACTATTACTGTTATTTACGTTGCGTCTCGTCGAAGATACACGAACCACCCGCCCCATTTCAGACGGTAAAATTACACGCCGAAGAATCCTCCCTTCAAATTAGCATTCGCAGTGCTTCGAAACGTTCGCAGATCACTCCGTTTGAAGTTCCATCACTTAATTATTAACTTTTTCGAAGGACACTTCGTTAAACTCGCAAGTTCCGACGGCAGCTTTCTTTATTCAATCGAGTCATTTCTTAAACGTAGAGGCGAGAGTTTAGATACCGTCTAATAACTTATAAATTTTATTGTCGCTTCTTAAGTAACGCGCCTCTATTTCGAGGGAATACGATGTAGATGGTAGGTTCGCTTCAAGGGGGCGTGATAAAGGAGTCGATAGCCGTTCGCAAATGCGACTCGATATGCGGAAATGATAGCTCTTATCTCGCACTCGTCACGAGCATTCCTAACATCCTTTCATACTCCACATTTACCCTCGCTAGTTAACTTTCATGCTGCTCAGGCGCTATCAGCCGGAACGTTTTATGATACAATTAAACGAATAATAATAAACTCTTTAAAAATGTATGAGGAGAAACGTAAGACTGTAAACGAACTATTCTGTTATTGAACAATTGAATCGGCTTTCTGGTTCGTACGGACAATGGTACAATCTGTTCGAAAACCAGTGGGACATATTGTACAGCGAATAATTACAAACGGAACGAGACTCGCGAATTTAAAATAGAAATATTGCGAACGGCAGACAGGATCGTCGGGGGATCGATTCATTTTTATTCCGCCGTGGGATGGACGGGGCGGGGAGGGGCGCGGCGGGCAACGCATTTATATACATACAATCGTATTTACATTACGTCAGCCAAATCGCGCGTACAGTAATTTCGCCGGCATTTCGCGAATTCATCGGATTCGAATAAAAATATTCGTTCGTTACACGACGCGACTATCTACTGGGTGTGACGATTTATTTCGGCCACGCGGAATCATGCGTGATAACAAAAAGTAGAGTGGAACGGGTAATGATGGCCAGCACATTTTTACTCGACGTCCGTTGCGCACATAATTGAAAATTTATTGAGAACGCAACGGTAAATCTAAAATTAAATGGTCTACCGGTCGAGAATTTACTGATACTTTTAATGGTATTAATGCAATGCGAATTATTAATAAGGGAATGAGCGGCCAACGGATTTTTATGTAAAACGAAATATCTGTAGCATGGATTTAAAAAATATAATTCAGATAACAATTTTTTATGCATCTGGCTTATTCATATTTTTTGCACATTCGATTTCTCGATAAATACGTAAATTCCGCAGTCTAGTGATAACATATATTTGCTGTCATAATATTTCTGATTAGACTTATGGTATGACAATCGCAAACGTGGAAATCGTTTCAACCTGTACTTATTTTATTCCGCTTTATAGTTTTTAATTTCTCTCTCTACTTGTTTTTTTTTCTACGAGAATATCGTTCGGAAGCGTAGCATTAAGCTTGACACAATCAACGACATATTGCGAATTTAAAAATTCATTCCTCACAAATCTCACGGCCAAAAAGGGACGGTTTGTAACATAGCGAGAGAGACAGAGAGAGAGAGAGGGAGTCGAACTTAAAAAAATGTGGCCTCCAATTTGGACGGTGTTTTGCTTGGAATTCCCCGACGGCTCGCATATTTTTCAGATATTTAACTGATTTCAGTTGATAAATTGACTGAATGTACCACGTTAACTTTTTTCCCCTGTATTTTAAAAACATAAAGAACATTTCTCGTACGACTTTTTAACTGAAGGAACAATCAACGTTGCCCGAGAATATTGTAAAATAGCTTCCATGTGAAATTTTGTTTCCGGCATTTAGCAAGACTTCCGCTCCGTTGAGCTCTTACCTGTTGAATAACAAATGATGAGCGAACAGTGAAATGAATTGCGCATTGAATAATTTCCCAAGCTAAATGACCGCGAAAACTTATTATTTATGCTAATTAGAGAAGGGCCGCAATGCGAGACTAATTAGACGCACCTCCAATTTCCCTTGACTGAACGCGTCCACCAGTAATTACTCTGACATCAATCAAGCCAATATTAAGGGGTGGATACATGTGCCGCGACACATTATATATCATTATTAGTTATACTATACGATGGACGTGCTCTAGCCATATTATATTGTTCATTGTTATGCAGCGTAACGTTACCGATTTCAAATTGCCGTACAATAGCACGATTTTTTTTCCCCCATTTGAATCAGAATTATACAACCGGTGCGTTAAATGCGGTGAAGGAAATTAGTAAAAAAACGAAGCGGGATCGTCGCGTCCGACTGGTGAAAGCCGCGACGCGATTAAAGCGAGGGAACAAATTTTTTTCCGATATCAGCGTTCGAATGAATCACCGGCACGTATCGCCCAATTAACGCGCGATCGTCCGCGAGATTAACCGATTCCATGAGAGATGAATCCAGGGCGTGTTGCGTGTTTAACGTTTAAGTCGGGCGATGGCTAACGATCTCATTAGTTTAGTCTCTTTTTTCCTTTTGAAATCAGAAACGCAGGGGAGAGAGGCGCGCGTCGAACTCAATTCTCAGAATGGAATCGCAAGCGCGTTAATTAATTCCTCGCTCGGTCTTTGGACAATTTAAAGGACGTCTGCGAATCTCATTAAGTCCCCGGGAGCCGGGCGACTTGTTACCTGCTGGAAATACGATGGTTTCATCGATCCTTGACGAAGTTGTCACTGAATCGTGCATTTCAACGTGTCTGGATGTTCGTTTCGCTCTGAGCGTGTCTGGTATTAATACACGCTGCTTAGAACGCGTATATCTATCTGTCGTTTGTCCGCGGGTGACGTTTTGTTCGTAACGACGGACGGGGAAATCTGTGATTTATCTGGAAAATAACGAGCTGGTGGAAACTTTTCTTGATAGTCGACGTCGATTTGTATATCGCATTCGGAAAGATTAAACGAGCGCGCTGGTATCGATAGAGGCGGACCGAACCGGTCTAAATCGGGGAACGAACGTCATAAAACTCGTCCTTCTGTAACAGTGCAAAGACGGCAAAAAGGAACGGTTCTATTAAGGTGAGGGCCCGATAGAACGACTGTATCACTTTCCGCGGGCATCGTCAATCAAATCACGTTCGGCGATAAACCGACGTCTACGTCTTACACATTGGAACGTTACATTCTTTCCTGTTCCAGGCGATGAAGATGAGCAAAGTGGGCAACCAGACCAATTCGCAGGACCCACAGGCGGTGAATTCCCGGGTTTTCGTCGGGAATCTAAACACGTTTCAGTGCAGCAAGACCGATGTGGAGCGAATGTTTCAACGCTACGGCCGCCTGGCAGGTAAGCTTTCCTTTTTCTCTCCTCTCTTCCTGCTCCCCGGTGGAAATCGCATAAACGAAAACCCGAATCCCCGGCTTCGTAGCCGACATTTTCGAGATTCCTTCGCTATCAGGCGCACGTCAGATTTTTGACGAGGACGGATCACTCGCATTCCTCCGATATGTCTCTCAAGTAATTGCGACGACCGTTGCTACCTTTACGTTTTTTATAAGATGATTATATTCCTCTGATCTTCGTAGTAATCGTCATACGTAGGCGACATTTTTTATTGGCTTCAGAGTAAATTAAATATTTATTACAAAATTTGTACCAAAGTAAAAAATAACATTGAAAATTGAAATCGAATTTTTATTTTACAGTAAAATTGATTTGAAAGTAAAAGATCAACGTTCTGAGAAACGTTTGCAAATACGGGAACTCGTATTTCTGAAGTAAATTGGAAACTAGGAAAACGGTAACACAAATAGCCGTGCGAAAATCGATGGACGATCAAACAATTTCCATTATCGTTTCGTGTTAGTTCGTGTACAAATTGCTAATGTAAATCCGTCTCTCGATCACAGATAAACGCGTTCTCACGATAAAATTCGCTAATAGAAAGAGTATCTAATCTAATCGATATTACCTGGAATTAAGAAGCAGGCAGATAACGTGGCGTACTATTTGTGGGAGCATCGGTTTTCCATGGGTTTCGGGGTAGGGCGAGTGGTAAAGCGGACGGGATAGTTACAAACTGGCCGAAGTTGAGGAGATCCAAAGATCGGGTCGGATAACGGGAAAAACTCTCGCGCTGTTATCCGGTATAAAAACCGGTGGAAGCTCGGGGTTTGGCCAGGAGAAAAATAGCGAGTTGGAAATAGGATTTTCTCGGATACGCTTCTTCTTCTTCTCTCTCTTTCTCCCGGTCCCCCGTAACCCAATTTGTGCCGTGATAGCTCCTTGACCTTCGATATCCCGATTGGATATCCGTCTCGGGTTAGACGAACTTCTACCCACGATGACTCCATTGCTTTCATTGTGCCCGGTAACTTCGTTTAGAAAACGTAGTTTATTGGGGGCCCGAAGAAGGAGGAAGCGATGATAAATTGATACCACGATGATTGCGTCCCCTGTTAAACTCATTTTTATTGTTAGCTAATTCCTTAATTACATCGAGGAATGCATTTAATAGAAATGAAATTCGATGTTCGTCTTAGAACGAGTTTCACGTGTAACATTCGACAAACGCTCGCTAATGGACCCTCGAATCGCGACTACAACAGCAACTTTCGAAGCATTCGCATTGTCTGTGTAGTACTTGCCTAATCAATGTGTACCTGTAGTAAAGCGTGTACTTGCCTAATCAATTTACCGTAAAATTAAAGCGCATTCATCCCGACGAATTCATCCGAATGAGCAACACGATCCCTCGTTTCGTTAATAAAAGTGTCACACTTTTGCTCCCGCGACGCGACGCGTGCCAAGTTTCCCTGGTAGAAACTTCGTCCTCTAGTTTAGACGAATTTCGAGTTTCTTGGAGTCTGTTGTGTACACCTGTCACGGGCTGCACGCGATGCGATCCTTGTTCGGTGTTCTCAAAATTAAAGCACAATTTATTACGTAGTTGCGTTACGAGCCGCGTTGCGACGGTGTAATGAAAACTTACCGCGTTAAATTTAAATGAGCCGATCGAATCTTGGGCTCCTCGTAAAATGGAGACGGCGAGGACAATTTCATCAGACCATTGCGCCGGAAAGAAAGAACTCTAGAATTCTTGCCGGTAGTCGCGCGATGTGCGAAACGTTATATAAACCAGGAGTCGTAGGAATTAGAGTCGTCGATCAATTTAACGGCTGTCTGACAAATGGTCGACCTTATCTACTTGATTAAACGCTCGTTCCTCTCCGGTCTTCAATAAAGCATCTTTCTGTTTTCGAGATAGCATTTCTCTTTAGTAATTGTGATCGATCGCGATTATACGTCGGTCCATTATTATATTTTTAAATCGAATTTTTATTTTACAGTAAAATTGATTTGAAAGTAAAAGATCAACGTTCTGAGAAACGTTTGCAAATACGGGAACTCGTATTTCTGAAGTAAATTGGAAACTAGGAAAACGGTAACACAAATAGCCGTGCGAAAATCGATGGACGATCAAACAATTTCCATTATCGTTTCGTGTTAGTTCGTGTACAAATTGCTAATGTAAATCCGTCTCTCGATCACAGATAAACGCGTTCTCACGATAAAATTCGCTAATAGAAAGAGTATCTAATCTAATCGATATTACCTGGAATTAAGAAGCAGGCAGATAACGTGGCGTACTATTTGTGGGAGCATCGGTTTTCCATGGGTTTCGGGGTAGGGCGAGTGGTAAAGCGGACGGGATAGTTACAAACTGGCCGAAGTTGAGGAGATCCAAAGATCGGGTCGGATAACGGGAAAAACTCTCGCGCTGTTATCCGGTATAAAAACCGGTGGAAGCTCGGGGTTTGGCCAGGAGAAAAATAGCGAGTTGGAAATAGGATTTTCTCGGATACGCTTCTTCTTCTTCTCTCTCTTTCTCCCGGTCCCCCGTAACCCAATTTGTGCCGTGATAGCTCCTTGACCTTCGATATCCCGATTGGATATCCGTCTCGGGTTAGACGAACTTCTACCCACGATGACTCCATTGCTTTCATTGTGCCCGGTAACTTCGTTTAGAAAACGTAGTTTATTGGGGGCCCGAAGAAGGAGGAAGCGATGATAAATTGATACCACGATGATTGCGTCCCCTGTTAAACTCATTTTTATTGTTAGCTAATTCCTTAATTACATCGAGGAATGCATTTAATAGAAATGAAATTCGATGTTCGTCTTAGAACGAGTTTCACGTGTAACATTCGACAAACGCTCGCTAATGGACCCTCGAATCGCGACTACAACAGCAACTTTCGAAGCATTCGCATTGTCTGTGTAGTACTTGCCTAATCAATGTGTACCTGTAGTAAAGCGTGTACTTGCCTAATCAATTTACCGTAAAATTAAAGCGCATTCATCCCGACGAATTCATCCGAATGAGCAACACGATCCCTCGTTTCGTTAATAAAAGTGTCACACTTTTGCTCCCGCGACGCGACGCGTGCCAAGTTTCCCTGGTAGAAACTTCGTCCTCTAGTTTAGACGAATTTCGAGTTTCTTGGAGTCTGTTGTGTACACCTGTCACGGGCTGCACGCGATGCGATCCTTGTTCGGTGTTCTCAAAATTAAAGCACAATTTATTACGTAGTTGCGTTACGAGCCGCGTTGCGACGGTGTAATGAAAACTTACCGCGTTAAATTTAAATGAGCCGATCGAATCTTGGGCTCCTCGTAAAATGGAGACGGCGAGGACAATTTCATCAGACCATTGCGCCGGAAAGAAAGAACTCTAGAATTCTTGCCGGTAGTCGCGCGATGTGCGAAACGTTATATAAACCAGGAGTCGTAGGAATTAGAGTCGTCGATCAATTTAACGGCTGTCTGACAAATGGTCGACCTTATCTACTTGATTAAACGCTCGTTCCTCTCCGGTCTTCAATAAAGCATCTTTCTGTTTTCGAGATAGCATTTCTCTTTAGTAATTGTGATCGATCGCGATTATACGTCGGTCCATTATTATATTTTTTTATTAATTAATCTCTGATAGCGCGAGGCATGGGCGGAAGAAAAGAGATTCCAATTGCCCGTCGAGTATCGTCCGGACGGCATCTAGAATCGATTTTCACTAGATTCTTCGGCGTCCGTTCGGCAAGAACCGCAGTTTACCGGGTTCCGAATGTCAACAACACGAATTATCCGAAGTCCCCGATCCGAGAGAGTTCGAGCACTCCATCGGAGCGGAACTTGGAAATAAAATTAAGCGGCGAGCGTTCTCCAGTCTGTAGACAACGCTTCGGGTACAATTCCTGAACGTCCACTTGACTCGGTGCAATCTGCACCGTACAGCTGTCAAGCGTGGCTGCGGCGAACGCCCGTAGCCCGTCGCAGGTTTCGGTGCGTTCGCGGCGCTCCGTCGTGCCCGATTGTATCTCGACCTCTGTCGTCCAGTTTTAATTCCTCGGTGCCGAACTCTCAAGTTCCTCGAAGTTCCGCGCAGCCGCGTCGTGGAAAGGCCGACGCAGCGTTTATTGTCCGGACCACTTTATCGAGGAAGCTGCTGAAAGTAAGCTGTTTATCGGCAGCGCCCAGACTCCGTTGTCCTCGCCTTCGACGCGCTTTCCCCGCCGCTGGGAGTCAAAGGGTTTTCGAGGGTGAGAGAGTGTCCGGTCGCCTGCAGTTACGATTGGGTTCGCGACTGAGCCCAGTCTTCTCTGATAATGACACTTTGTCGCCGTTAAATTGTTCCGAATTAGCAGTTCGAGCTCTCGGCCGTGGCTTCTTGATAAAAGCGCTTCGACTCCTTCTCTTCTGTTCGCTGAAAATGTTTCTTATATCTTGACTCGGCAGGTTGGTTTAAAAACTGATTATCGACGAATTCTCGGATGTTTGAACGACGTCCGTGTTTCGATTGTCCGAAGACAGCTGGGTAGTTTACATCGTGCAAGGTTACACGCTTTATGGCCCGGAATCTCGCGGGGCTCGTGCTAGAAATTAACTTCGCGCAGCTCAGTTAAATATTGAAATCTTAATCGTCGCCGACGGAGCAGTAAAGGAATATACTAATTGTAACAGGGACTCCGGTATCCGTGCTAACACCGTGGGACGCGCGGCTGAAGAAAAATCCGTTCTTCTTAAAACATTTAATTTCAGTTTAAAAGCGGTGATCAAAATACAGGACATCGAGAATTCCAGTAATTACCTATCAGATATCCTTTCCAATTTCGTTCAGATTTTATCCCGAAAATCCGGAAGCTTTTTTATCGCCAATTAAAGAGACAGTCGTGTGGATAACTGACGCGAACGCGTGCTCATTTTTCCGGTAAATCGAAAATGGCTTTTCATTATTCAAACGCGAGAAAATCCAATCGCCGGCCGCCGGACTATTCGAAAACGTCGTTTCGGGGCAGAAACACGCGTTTCCTTTTCATTTTTGCCTCTTTTTTCGTTCATCTTGTTTTTTCGTCCTATCCCTTCTATACCGGTTTATTTTTCCTTTTAATTCGATTACCCGGTCCTCGGTTCCCGTCTGCCTCTCCTCGTTAGCCCCGAGCCCGGCAAAAAACCGAATATGTAGATTTCCGCAGAAAAGGGCAACGTAAATGCCCGCAACAAGAAATATCGAGTTACTAGAAGCCCTGGCTGGTTTTTTTTCTCGTTGATACTCGAACGATATCTCCGTGAAACACCGCAAATTATTGCGTTTCCCTGTCCCAAAGCCAAATCCAATATTCTTCGATGATTTGAAAAGATAAGAACGTTCTTAAAGTAGATATACTTTCTCGTTGATGTAGATATACTTTTTCTCTCTTTTCCTCGTCCACGACGACGTTCGAAGACGTAGAAAATTCTGTTTTGAGCGCTGTATGCACGGTACACAGGTTAATACGACTTTTGAGCGGGCCGTCGACGATGCGGTCGTCATTGAAGTCGTCGACCCACTCGATTCGTGCAATCTGTTCCGCGCAGCTGTCACCGCTTGTCCGGCATTCCACAATGGTAGAGTAGAACCCGGTGCTCCATATCTTCTGACGAGCCGAACCTTTCGCAATTTCACGTCCCCGTTGACTCTCGAGCCGCTCGTCCTTCCGCAATAAGGACCCAAGGCCTTTTCTCTTCTCGTGCCCCCGACTATTCCTAGTCGCAGTCACGCTCCAGCCCCGCAAAACATTCGCCGGAGAGATTGCGAATTGTCGTTGCGGTGGGCCGAGAGTTAAAACTTTTATAGAAGTTCCCGGCGGACGAGCTTCTCGGGCTCTTTGGCGACTTGATTCGATGCTTTACTTAATTTGTACTTCTTCAGATTCTGCTCTCCGGGTTTAGTAGGTGAAATGTTGGTTTTTATTGCCTCGTAAAACAAAATCCTTGGGTATATTAAAATATATCACAAATTTTTCTAGGCTGTATAAATAAAATTTACCTCAATCCATTTCGGGGTGAAATATGTAGAACTCGAAATTTTAACCGGTTCTTTCGTTCCGCATTTTTTTTATGCCTGTCGAACATTTTTTATTTTACATCGCCCACATGGCGGCGTCATCGATTCCGCGGTCGGTCTGCGTAGCAAGTCGGCAGATACGTTCGTTCATTTTAACGCAGGAGACCCGGCCGTAATCTGTGTACCCGTAATAACTTTTGCGTGGTTAGCAGCTGACCATGCATGGAATTCATTATGCTGAAACAAATATGTAAATCTCCATATATTCCACGGCTGTACACCCACATAGCCGGTGGTGTACGCGCCCCGGATGCAGATACACGCCGCCCGGGGACCTCCGCGCTTGTGTGCCCACACAACCAAAGGAACAGTGACGGTTGGGGAAAAAAAAACTTATCTTGGCCACGCCAGTTGCGCTGGACATGTTAATAATGCCGAGGACCTCTATGACTTTACTTCCTGGGATTATTTTACAACGTTCCAACAGTTTTCTTTTCTCCTGAGTGATTCTGATTTTCCGCAGGGTAACAGAAGTAATAAGCAGGTTGAAATAATTTTTTAATGTAATTGCTGGAAATATAATGATCTGTGAGATAAGAGAATATTGTTTTACAAGTCTGCTATAATTATTAGGAAAAATTGGGACGAACAGATTCTCTCTTTAAAGATTATAATAAACTCGGTGGAGTGGGTTCATGAAAAATAAATACGACCGAACGTTCGTATAACGTATTTCGGGAAATTGTAGATAATTCTTAAAAATTTACGATATTAAATCTCATTAAGCGTATTTGTAATTATCTTCGTACTGAATGATGAATATATCTGACGAGTCTTGAATAGCTGATCATGAATATTGAAATGTTCCTGACATTTTTCTACAAATAATGAGTATAGTAATATCGTGCAGAGTTGTTACAATGAAATCGGTCAATCCTTTTAACGGATCAAAGTTCGTTATTTTTAACAAGGACGATCTTCGAGGATGTTCATATTTAGAAGCGGAGAGGGAGGACGAAAACAACGGGAAACAGGAACGTCTCTCGTTCGATAATCGCGATTCGGCTTCGTTCATTTAGTATCCGGAACGATGACGAGGTTCTTGGGAGGCTAGACTCCTCGGCGTCTCATCAAAATTCATGGAAACAATTTTAATTAAAGATTTCCCCTACTCGCGGCCCCTTCCCCGACCACTTCTATTATCTTGGCATTTCTGTTTCATTCCGTTCGCGTGGCTCGGAAGAAAGAGGCCGGTCTGTGGTACAGCATATTGGAACGTCATGATCGTTTGTTGTTTCAGGAATATCCATGCACAAAGGCTATGCATTCGTGCAATTCACAAATCCCTTTGATGCCCGGAGCGCCTGCCTCGGCGAAGATGGCCGCACCGTTCTTAGCCAGATACTCGGTAAGTAAATTTCTCTTGCCGTCTTCATCTATCTCGGGCACGTTAATACCTGACGCGGTGTACACGCGCGTATATTTTAAACACTAGCCGTCTGGCCATCGTTTGGCAGTTTACCCAGCGCCGAGGATTGCTTCGATTAATTATTATTACCCGAAAGGAGCGATGCTTAATCCACGAGCTTCAAAGGGTCGGTTTACTTCGCTGCTTTCTGCGTTTCAATTTTTGATGCCGGCTCTCTCGCTCGGAACCGAATTTATCAATATTCGCGATATTGTATTACGGAACATTGAGACCGTTGCCTATTCATGCGCGTCTCCGTCGGCGGGGAACTATTAAAAAATTTTAATCCCTCCGTATTTCATTGTACGGAAAAAATTAACGAGGCATCGTTATCGAATGACCGCGATTTAAAACCGGGTTCATAAACATACCGCAGCGGAATCCACTCGCGAATCGGCTTATTACCATCGCGAATACCTCAATTAACCACTTGCTCGGGTAATATCATCAATTTCTCCCCTATTACCACGATTTTATGCTGAACGAGGAAAAACCCGATCAAAGGGGAATCGAAGTTTAATTCGTACCACCGATCTGTCTGCTACTATCCCCGGCAAAAAGTTTCTATAATAAAATGCGATAAGATGTTTTTATTCTACAAAGAATAGCTCGTCAAAATCGTCAAAAGCTCGACGCCATAGGTAACATAATTAAATGGCTGGGCAAAAAAAGGAAAGCGGTTAACGTAGTGTTCGAGGAATTCCGATCATTTACAGAAGTGGACTTTTCGCGAGTTAACTCGGAAGGAACCGAACGGATCTTTAAAAGCGGAGCATCATCGACTTCCAGCCATTAGTTTCGAAGTTGGCTGACTCGAGACAGGGGTGCGTTCGCTCGAGAGCATTTAGTAAACTCGAGAAACTCCCCGAGGAATCGGCTTTTCTTCTTCCGCTCGCGAATTTGCATGATTTCTGACAGATTCCCGACTATCCTGTATCGAACCCTCATAGACTATTCTATTACTTTTCTCTTCTTTATCGCTGCGTCGTTTGCACCAGACGGAGTTCCGAAATTTTGTGGGTTGAGCTAGGTTTAAATCGTTCGTCTGTATAGAACGTGGTACACGTTTCTCTGAGTTAACTTCTCCTCGATCAGATTCAGCGGTCAATAAGACAAAGACAAGTACCACCTTTGCCGCACCTGTGTGCATGCACCCGGGTCGCCGTCGAGGTAACTCAGGTAGCAGTTCATTCGAATCGGTAGGATTTCAATCAATCTGCGATAATACGTATAATGTAGTTCTTTCAATGAAACGAAACTTGTTCCATTTGCCGTATCTCGTCGTATTTGTCTCGATTCGCGTTCTCTTTCGAAGTCAAACTTCACTGACGACGATTCGATCCGATTGCACGCAGTTTCCTGTTTGTATGCCCTAGCACTATTTAAACCCTCGCCTGGAACGGTAGTCGATAAACCGGCGCAGAGGTTCGAATCGCGGCCTGTATCGCGTCCTTTCAATCCGTTGAAAGAAACTCGCGCATTAATCACGGACAGAAACTTCATAAGTTCGCCGGCGGGCATTCAGATCGACCATTGATAATCGCGGGACGTGGTACAACCCTCTTTTCTCGCGGTTTTCCCGCCGGGTACCGAAAGTATTGCATACGGGTCAACGACAGTCCGCGATAGCGGCGTTAAGAACCAGTCCTGTCTATGGTATATACTGTATATACATACATACGTATACCCGTTTCCTTTTCCCTGTTCGACTGCCGGCTGTCTCTCTCTCTCTTTCTCTCTCTCTCTCTCTCTCTCTCCCTCTCCCTCTCCCTCCCCCTTTCTCGATTCGCCCAGAAATCTTTCTTTGGCTAATGCAAGAACTGTGTTCCGACTGTAGCTCGCAGCCGCCTACCCTTCCGGCGGCCATATACTCGTTCAGACGCCGGTGCTTGCGCACACACAGGGTCGTAGGTAGACGGTGCATTTACAAGTGCAACTCACCACAGGGAGACCCGCGTCTCTTTCTACTCCTATATAATTCTCACCGCCGGCACACGTTTCCGCGTACATAGAAGTTTACCGGGCGAGGAACATCCGAATAAAACCCGCGCCTCTTCCCGGCCCGCCGTCCGACCCCTAAAGAAACGATCGCTTCCGAGAGTGGAACGATACATTGTAACCGCGGTCTCTCGCGTTTTGTACTACGTTTTGTGGATGGAACTCTATTCACAATTAAATCTTAGCTTACGGTCGACGAGATAACAGCTGTTGACGTTCCTTTCTTAGCGAAAAACAGTTCTGCTTTGTTAGATAAATACTTTGCATCAAATCGTTTTATCTGCCAAACGAACAAAGTATTCCTGAACGATGGAACGTTGCATATTTCGTGGTATCAGACGTTGGCCGTACGAGATTGTACGGGGAAGGTGTAATTGCGTGGGGCGGCGGGTGAATCTAGCCAACAGTCCGAGGCACTTTGAGCGGGCTGAGAAATTAGCTATCAAAAGGAAGACGGTGCAATATCGGTTCCCGTGATGAAGAGGGTTCGGATACCGCGCTTTTGACCGTAATCTCGTTAGAAATGAATATTGCAACCGGGATGGTCTGACGGTTTTGACTGCGGCCCGGCCACTTTTACACATAACTCCGAGCGATCGAAATCTCGCTAGTACTTTATAAAAGACAATGCTCGTAGACGAAACACTTCTCCCGTTCACGACTGATGCTCGGATTTGAAACGGCAAAGCGGTGCGTCATTGGATCTTATTCTAGAAATGCAAGACGTGTTCACGTTTCCATATAAAAATGAGGAAAATGAAATCGCACGATGAGATCGTACACTACGCTTATTTTCACGAAATTTTTTATGACCCTCCATATTCTGGCGAAACGCACGGCTGAATATTTTAGGTCAGTATCTATCGGGATATATCATGTACGACGGAGTTTTACCGACGCTTCTTGTCATTTTATGCGACACTCTCCACGCCTTGAGCCAGCCTATGTATACACCTGGGTTTACTACCCTTAAAAGATGGCGAAAGGTCACCCACGACATTTCGCGTGCCGATGCACTCTGTCATGACACGGTTTAAACGAATTGCTGCATGGAGAGAAGCAGTCAGGAAATTAATTTTCGAAAAACGGAATCGATTACAGTTATTGATTTTGTCTCTCCTTAACGAATTTTCTTTTTTTTCAAAACTTCGAAAAATGCTTGAAATAAAAGTTGTTGTCCTTCTAACTTCGATATTCAACGAGTTACGTATGATTATTTGGCATTTTATTGATGTTGACAAAATCCGACCATCCCAGCGTCGAAACG